CCCCGCCCCCGGCCCCGCACCAATAGCTACCCCGGTCCCACCAGTGGTGGGTGTGGCCCCAGGCGGGGTCCGGGGGGGGTCCGGGGGGGGGCATAAAACCCCATTTTTGGGGTTCAGCCCACGTGATGCGCGCTCTCGCTGCGCACCCCCCACTTTTGTTTTTGTTTTTTTTGGGGGGGTTGGGGGTGCCCACCCCCGGACCCCCGCCGGGGCCCCGGGGTCGGGGCTCAACAACCCTGGTTGCGGCCCAGTAGGCTTATCATCTCAGGCTTAGGTAGGCTTAGCCCTGCCTCGGCCTGCTAAAGTCGATGCCCAGCTACCTAACCGGCTGGACTCAGCCCAGGCCCAGCAAGGCACCCTGTTAGCTGCATGTCCGGCATCGGGCCCCGACGCAGAGTTAAATCTCACACAAAAAGAAAAGGTAACCCTTCTCTCCCGTGTTGCGGTGCTATACCTGACGCGTCCATCTTTCTAGCCTATTAGGTTTTGAATCGCGCGGCTTAGCAGTTGTGTGTTATTATTTGAGGTAGTATACGTCTAGCTTTAGCGTCCCCACGTTCGGCTATCTTTGCGGCCCTACTAGAAACCGCCTGCTACCGCCATTACTATCGGACGTCGCAGGTGTGTGGACTAGGGCTAAGAAAAAGTTGTATTCTCACAGTCATATTTAGTCTTAATGAAATTTCGCAGACGACAGTCTCATCAAGTCCTTCAATTCAACAAGAAAAAGTCGAACAGCGTCCGACGTTCAAAAACCCAGGCAAATACCCTTGTCAGGGTTTTTGCCCCGACACCGGACAGAGGTTGAAGACACCAACGCTTGGCCATGAGAAACCTGTCCCAACCCTAGTTGAAGCACTATCGAGCGAGCCTTGTCACACGACACTTCGATCACCAAGCATGATCGTTCGTTATCCTTTTTTAGCCAAGGTTTGGTTAGACAACGAATATTTCTTAGAGCCTTTCCTTAGGCAGTGTCTAGTGGTTCTACCCTAACCAAGGTCTTACCTGAGACAACCCTTCTGAACCAACCCGGGCGCCATGTTCCTAGCATAGCCTATTATTATTGTCGTATTAGGGGTTGTGTTATCGTTCATGCTGAGGGAGCAAGGTTATCGATTCCGTAACCCCCACCAGTTCGCCGCAGGGCCGGTTCCTGACAGGGAAGACTTCCGACCCATCCCCCCTTGCACCCTCAGTTGGTTATTATTAGTCATGAGTTATGATCCCAGACCAGTCCGAAACCGAATGTTTCCATAGAGCCACCCTAGGCAATGTCTTACCTACGTCAACTCTAGACCAGTCTGGGCGCCTATTGGAATGATGTTACACTTGGTATGAGTGTCACTCTAGGCCATTCCGGAACCGAATGTTTCCACGGAGCCACCATAGGCAGTGTCCCTAAGCCAACTCTAGACCAGCCAATGTGCCAGTTCAGGCTAGCCCGGAACTGAATGTTTCCTCGGAGCCACCCTAGGCATCATCCTACCTATAGCAACTCTAAACCAGCCAAAGTACCTATTGGGATTATTTCATGGCTGGATTATATGGTCCAGGTTAGTTTGGAACCGAATGTTTCCACGGAGCCACCGTAGGCAGTGTCAGTACCTAAGCCAACTCTAGACTAGTCTGTGTGCCACTCCAAACTAGTATGGAACCGAATGTTTCCTCAGAGCCACCCCAGGCAGTGTCTTGCCTAAGCGAACTCTAGACCAACCTGTGTACCTATCAGGTATAGACATGACGAATGAGCATAGTATGGAGGGGGCAGGGTTATCGGTCCGTAACCGTCACACCAGTTCGCCATAGAGTAGAGTAAAGTGTCTTACAATAAAGTAGAGTAGAGTAGAGCGTTGTAGAGTAGAGAGTCGTAAAGTACAGTAAAGTAGAGTGCAGTAGAGTGTCATAAAGTGTCGTAAGTATAGTAGAGCACATTGTTGTTGAGTAGAGTACGGCGTCGTAAAGTAGAGTAGAGTAAAGTAGAGTAGAGTGTCGTAAAGTGTCGTAAAGTAGAGTGAAGTCTCATAAATTGTCGTAGAATATAGTATACTAGATTCTCGTAGAGTAGATTATAGTATCGTAGAGTTCAGTCGAGTATAGTATAGTAGAGTAGAGTAAAGTTGCGTAAAGGAGAGCAAAGTGGAGTAGAGTGGAGTAGAGTGGAGTAGAGTGGAGTAGAGAGGAGTAGAGTGGAGTAGAGTAGAGTGGAGTGTCGTAGAGTCGAGTTGAGTAGAGTACAGTAGAGTAGAGTGTTGTGGAGTAGAGTAGAGTAGAGT